CTACGCATGCTGTGTATTAGTGAAGCCAGTGAGAAAGAAGAGCAAAAAACTGGAAACAGGAACAAAAAGTCTCTTCCACAGGGGGATTTACTGGTTCTGCCTTTGAAGGATGTTGTAATTCTTTCCATAGTTCAGACCTAGCCAGATTAAAACTAAACAAAAAAATAAGATGTTTTCCCCTGAACAGCACCGTTTCTTGGGGTACATGATCTTTCCACATTAAATCCTGAAGAATTTGATAGCATCCTTGTGATATAAAAAGGCTAAATTGTAGATGATAAAAGTGCTATTATAAGGAAGACTTCTCTGTCTCTACAACTACATAGGGGTCTGTGGAGTTGGGCAATAACTGTGTTTAATGTCTGATCTGTTGTAATGTGTTTGACCACTAGGCCAAAGAAGAAGAAGAAGCTGCTGCAGACCCAGCTGTTTTAGCAGAGCTGCAGAGAGAGGTGGAGGACCTGAAGCTGCGGCTGCACATGGCTGCAGAACACTACAAGGAGAAGTACAAGGAATGTCAGCGACTGCAAAAGCAAGTGTTTAGACTCTCTGAACAGCAAGGGGTAGGTCGCACCAAATACAAGCCGACATACTTTATGCTTCCCCCCAACAAGTGAAAGAACAGAACTTGCATTAGATTTCTGTAACACTAACTCTGCCTATCACATTCCGCTAAATGCCCTCAGAGGTAAAAGGACCTTTGGCCGCTCTTTAAGTCTGTTGTTAATTTCTTGACTGGAATTAATTGCAAAACACCCTGAGCTTAAATAAATGAACCTTTTATCAGCATTCATTGTGTTTATATAAGAAATTAACATGCGCATATGAATTGCTCTTCTTGATAGTTATGTGAGCTTTAATAAATACAGTAAAATTGTTTCATGTTGTAATGTTTTCAGTAGCATATGTTTGTTTATGTTTTTACTTATGTGCATTTTTGCTTTCTACTGATCCTGATTCCAGCTCATGCCTGCGCCAGTTTACTATTTCTTTTTTTTTTGTCTAGTTGCATTTAGAGCTAATTAACACCTTTTTTCCTGTCTGTAGGAACTGAAGAGAAGCTCAGCACAAGAGGCCACAACAATCCCAGCATCAGTGAGTCCAGACACATCAGTGCCAGGTACATTATATCTAACCGTGCCAAATTGTGAAGTTGATAGTTTATCAGCAGTGTCGTTTTTCAGGTGGTTGCCTCAGAAAATCAGTAGTTTTATTTTGACTCTGGTCCTATTATATTGCTATGTAGGTAGGTCACATTTAAGTGTGTCATTGGATATGAATTGTCATCTTAATAATCAACAGATAACAAAATAACTTAGCCGTGCCCCAGGTTGCTTTGCCTTGACAAACCGTCTGACTTGCCTTCGTTGCCTTCGTTGCCTTCACAGGGAGTCCGGGTTCTGCTGATCCCATGCTGGAAGCCATCATCCAGGAGAAGCTCAAAGGCATCAGCAGAGAGGCGTCTGACAGGAATGACAAGTACAGGAAATGCAAACAGATGCTGGTGGTAAGAAACATATTATTTGCATCCTTTTATTGGTCATGTCTGCGCAGATAAGATGTCCAAACCCTGTTCTCCAAAGGTATGATATACAGTGTGTGCTTTCTGCATTGCAAGATAGAGGAATATGATAAAAAAGAGCATTGGTTAATGTCTGACTGCTCATTAGGAGGAGAAGGAGCGTAGCTGCATGTTTGCTGATGAGCTGGCCAAGATGGAGGTGAAATTTAAGGAACAACTGAAGACCAATGAGAACCTAAAACTTCAGTTGGCAGCAGAGGAAGATCATTACAAGGTCAGTTCATCCCGCAGGCAGTTCCGAAAACAGGCACTTAGCGCTCAGGCCATTTGCTGCCAGTGATGCTCTGCTGCTTTCGAAGCAAGCCTTTCTTTGGACACTTACTGTGTTTTTACCGCTGGATATGGCTGTTCTAGCTCAGGGATCGAGCCTTTGATGCTATCTCTTCCCTTGAACACAGTCGCCCTGACAGTGTTGTTTATGAGCAGGCCTATCTGTGAGACGACATTTTACTGCTGTTTATGTCAGGCTCTGGAGACAAGGGAAGCTTAGCTTTGACGAGTCTTCTCCAGTTGCCTGGCTAATGCTGTGCTTGACTCAGGTCAGGCGGATATTTGCTTAGTGTCTCAGAGGAATTCAAACAGGTTGGTTTGCTTGGAGCAGTGTTGTACATAAATCAGTCCAGTGCAAAGGGAAGCCTTTTATGGCTGTGATCAATTAATGTCACAAACTGAGGTCTGAGAGTATTTCACGGATGCAGTTTTCAATTGGCAGTCCATGTCAGATGTTTTAGGATTGAAAATTTCTGTTCATTCTTCTGTTTTTGTGTACTTCAGAGCCAGGTAGCTGAGAAGGGACGGGAGCTGAAGGAACTGAAGGACACACTAGCACTTGTTGTGAAGGAGAAGGAAAAAGTGGAGGAGGTTAGTGACAGCTTTCATTTTTTTCTTTTATGGACTTCTTCCACTCTAAAAATTCCCTGAAAAGTGCCATTGCCCTGCCATTTTCCCTCTCCCAATCTGGTCTATTTAATATGCCTCTAATTGTAGAAGCAAAGTAAATGAGTTCTTATTTTCCATTCCATTACTTTGGACCACAGCAAGGTCCTCACTGACCTAAAATATTGCTTCGAGGTAATGCTGTTACAGCTAAGAGGAGCAGAATGACCCAATTTGAGGTTTAGACTGTAAATTAAATTGGCGTCTGCAACTAACATCAATAAAACAGAGCGTCCCATTCCCTTTGAAAATCAGAAGAGTTGCTTTTTTAATGAAGGCACTAATTAAACTGTTTGTATGAGAAAAAGCAAGATGTCGCAGCTCAGGAGCTGCTGTTTGATAATAAGCAGTGATGTATTACTTGCCTTGAAAGACTGGGAGGCATATAGAGATGAAAGCAGATATGTCGGCTCATCAGGCATTTCATTTTGCCATTTTTCTGTGTTTTTGTAAAAATTCTGCTGTTTCTTCCCCAGGAGCTCCAGAAGGGCAGCAGGAAGGGAGATCAGGGGGGCAGTGAGAAAAGCAGTTTGGAGAGTAGCCAGTCTAGTGTGCCTTTATTCCTGCAGTACCCTGTCCCTTACACCCAGGATGCCCCCACCCCACTGCTGGTTTCTCAGAGCCCCAAGCTGCAATTTGGTAACCCTTACTCCATCTCAGACTCAAAAGGTTGGTTTCCCTTTTCAGACAGTAGAACATCCCTTTGTTGAAAATGTTCCATGAACAATTGTGGAAATAACTGACTTTGTATTTACAAAAACTATGTCTCTCCATTTTCTCCCTGCAGATGAGGGAGATGAGGAGTTCTCAGATGACCAGCTGCTTAGGCTGCCACCTGTGGGCCCACCCTCCTGGGACAGTAATGTGGTGTGTATCCAACCCACCCGCAACCACAGCCGGCCAGAAGGCCATGAGGAGTCAGAGGAAAAGCAAAACAACAACAATGTAAGCCTTTCCGACTGTGCTGTCTGCATTCTCTCCCATGTGCAGTATGCAGTTAAATACTTAGGATTAACTCCTTTGTGTTTTAAATATTCACAAATGCAGTTTTACCGGTCTTCCTCAGGGTAATACCAATGAACAGCCCACAGCAACTGAAACTCGCAGCCCATTTGTGAATGACGGACAAACTGCCTTCTGCTTTGATCCCAGGTAACACGCCCGAACACTCATAAATGCCATCCAAGTTTGCTGCACCCTACATTTTCTAAACCTGTGCATTGTAACATGTGTAAAGTGTTTGTTCTGCTGCACAGCCCCCCTTTTGTTGGTATAAGTCAAGCGGCAGGCCACCCACGTTGCATCAGACAGATGCTCTTTATTAGCCTGCGCTCCTGGTTTGCCCACATCATCACTTGACTGCTTATTAACGGGAGCTTTCTCTCCCTGCCCTCCTGTTTTTCTCTCCTCTTCTTGTACGCAGCATGGACATGAAGAGATGTCCGCTGTGCGAGGTCATCTTCCCGCCCAACTATGACCAGAGCAAGTTTGAGGAGCATGTGGAAAGCCACTGGAAAATCTGCCCCATGTGCAGCGAGCAGTTCCCGCTGGACTGCGACCAGAAGGTGTTTGAGAATCATGTGCTCACTCACTTTGATGGCCACCCGCTCAACTTTGAATAGAAAATCAGAAAATAAGCACATCCGCTCTGCCTACTTCCCATTACCACTGAAATAAATCACTCTGCACTCTTTTCTGCATGTAATAATGGTGTGAAGATCCACTCTTTAGACTACACTGACTTTTGCTTTGTTACTTCAACTTAGAGAAACACTTTGAAGCAATGTGACATTGTAATTCAGTGTATATGGCAGAGCTTCTGAATCTGTTTGCAAATCGGAAAGTTTTTTTATAGATAGAAGATTTCCATTCATATGGATTTAAAGAATAATTTAGGACGATAAGACTGTTGACTTAAAATTGACTCTGCTGTCACAGATCTGGTAGACTAGAGGATGTAACGAATCAGGGAAAGAGATAAGTGTTTACCAAACTTATATTTAACATCCAACCAAATGGTTCCCCCCTTAAACATCACTGTACCAGTCATTTCCTCATTCTTTATAGGAAGCAGCCTTGGTGCAGTCAGGGAGAAATCTTCAGTGATTACATTCAGACATTATACAGTATATCATCAGATCATCTATTTTAGAATAATTAAAGCCAATGATATTGTGAAAGCCTCAATACTTTGTCTATGATAGATTTGTGTTTATGTTAGGTTTCCTTTGTTTTGATTTTGATTATTTTATTGGGGTTTTGTGTCCAAATCTTTATGAACCTTCATATCATCATCTATTCAGTGCATGCTGAGCTTATGTTAAGTTTCCCTCTTTGTTCTTCTCTTCTGAAGCATTAAGTTATTTCATTCATAGAAATGGTTTCATTTGTTAAGTGAGTTTCATGTATCTAATACGAATTAATAAAGTCTGTTTGAAATTGAATTGTTTCCAAACGCAGTCAATAATACAGGAGTCTTTGGGCACACATCAGAGGAAGTTTTTATTCTAAATGTAACAAAAGTGTACATGAAGCAGCTTTTGAAGAAATACAGTACATCACTATTAGTTTCTCCAAACAACCTCTGATTTTGCCTTTTCATACACATTATACTATATTTTGTTTAACTCCAGGAACATATGAAAATATAATTTAATGCACTTAACACATAACAATACATTCACTGTACACTATATGAAAGACTTTCCTCCATACTGGCAGTACAATACTGTCACAATTCTCAATTGGACTGTAGTTCCTAAACTCTAACATCCATGCAGTGAAGATACCTAATGGCTCAATGTTGATAAATCTCCAAACTTTTTTGTGGTATTTTTTTGCCTTTATGACGGGAAGAGGTAGACAGAAAATGGGGAGAAAGAGGGGTATGACATACCACAAAGAGAGAGAGGTATGACATACCACAAAACCAGCTTCGACCATGCATCCACACGGCATGCGCTGTAACCTTTTGGCTACCCAGGTGCACCGATTAATCCCTAGTTTTGTGGTATTTTAAGATCTGGGGTTCATTATTTCAGAGATTAAATGGTGTTGTACGTGACCTCAACTGACACTATGTTATTATGGCACAAAGTAGGAGGCGTATGTGTTTCTCTCACAGCCTAACAGCAGGACTGTGAGAAAAAATAAATCTGCTGAATACATGTTGGACCCTCTTTCTTCTATTCATGACGAGGACAATCACATGGTTTCAAAAGACCTGGGAGTTGGTGAACAGCAAACAGTCTGGACTGAGCTGTCTGTGTAATGTCTGCATTCAAAGAAATTAATCTGAACTGTCAAAATGAAGCCATACAAAGATCTGCACTGATTGGAATGGTTTACAATTCAAGGCAACTACTGTACATACAGAAATCTCACAATACTGGAAACACCGGATGTTTGCTGTACATCTTCCCTGGGAGCATGCAAACTTCTGCTCTGAAGGCCTTTTGCCTCGTTTTGGTAGCAACTGTGCATATACCAGAAACGAGATGTTGGCAAAAAAAAAAAAACTAATTTGTTGGCAACTTGTTACAAAAAAGTGCTTCAATCCTTAGCTAAAATAGCAAGGACAACTGCTTAAGTCTTGGAGAAAGTGACCAGGAACATTAGGAACAATGACAGATCGAGTTCTCATGATCCCTCTGAACAGCATAAATACTATTGGAACACTTGGGCAGGATTGCGGTGCTGAAATGCTTGCAGATGTCACCTGAGATCATCATTTGGTGCTCACACACAAGTGTTTGCAGTAAAACAGGTGAAGAAAAAAAAGTTTGGAATACTTGTGATATGAAAGTAAAAGTAACTAAGTCCAATAACTGATTGGCATTAAATCTGACAGAGAATGAAACGTACAAAAGTTTTCAGCTTTCTCGTGTTATACCACACACATTCAGATTTTTTTTCTCATTTGCCTCTGTCATATTTTTAGGCCAAATGAAAGGCAGGCATGGTAATGGTTCCTCCTTTCTCTAAAAAAACCCCATCTAAATCTGTCCTCAGTTTTCCCACCTTCACACTGCCTTTAAAGCAGGATGCCCTACTGCCCATGCAAGGCTACTCGTGACTTGGTGTGGCCATCCTCTAGTTTACGACAAGCCCTCATCATCAAGGAGCACCATTTGTCAAAAAAACAACATAAAAGTCAAAAATAGATAAATGATAGCTTAAATGTGCAAAGTACAAAACTGTGAACTACATAAAGATTTAACATTCTTAATAAAAATTAAGAACGAATATTAATACATTTATACCATGCAATCAAAAATAGTGTCATAACAAAGTGGGATAAAAGAGAGTGGGGTACAGGGGTTTAAGGATGAGAGGAACAGGTCGGAATGAGAAACAGCCGTTGCTGGTGATGGTGGCGTTCAGATGGATTGGGAAGTGACTTGAAGGAGAGTGCTGGTTGCTCCCTCAGTGTCTAGTGCTGCATCTTGCGGATGATGTCAGTAGAGATGGGTGGGTGGAAGTTGATGGTGTGGTGGCGGAGACCCTGAGACGTTTTGTAGCTCTTCCCACACCGGCACTTGAAGGGTTTGCGCACCCTTATCTGGGTTCGATGGCCGTTCTTGGCATGATACTTGATCCCATTCACATTCTGTAATGAAGCAAAAGAATATGAGCTTCCTAAAAATATCTGTTACAAATATACTGACAATAGGCAGTAGAGAGAGGAGAAAGATGTTCTTCTTCAAAATCTGTCTTGTTCTGCGCCTTAACAGATGCCTAATGCTGGCCATAACCCTGTCATTCACGTCAGCAGTGCAATTTTCTCAAGCTGCACGTAATTTATCCCAACCACACACACCAGATGTAAATGGAAAATCCTGTAAAACTCCACATCACCGAAGTGGACTAGATGTATGCATCTATGTTGACATGCTGTAATGCTAAACTTAGAAGTGAATCCATTTTGAGTTTACATTCTCACATGTCACTGTTAGCAAAACGCTTTGTACAACACAAATATCTAAAATAAATAATCTATTTTATTTGGTAAATATATTTCACCCCGTTGCATTATGGTAAACCTATAGCATGTATTCTAAGGAGAGATGTCGAGTGACACCTACCTTGTATCTCTTTTTACAGCCTGGCACGGGGCAAGCAAAAGGCTTCTCGTCTCCTCCGTTCATGCACATAGAGCTGAGGATGGACTCAGAGCTGATGGCGCTCTCTGTGGTCCATGACTCATCACTGTCAGACTCCTCAAAGTCCACCTCCTCCTCATCACACTCGCTACCTGGGAGATGGTGAAAGACAGAAAGTCACACATGTATTGAATCAGAAGCTCTGATTTGTGCACACTTCATCATAATCATAATCTCTGGTGATGAAATCCTGGCCTTCGAGCCTCCAGGCTAACTAACGTGGACCGTTCTCACCATGTTCTTTGGGCCAGTGTTCCCATAATGTGTACTTTGTGTGTTACAGCGCCCAAATTTCCAGAAAGACTGAAATATGCCAATCGTGGGAAAGAATTTATGCATTTTATTGAGGTCTTAGGGTCAGTGAATAGCTTTATTGATTAATTAAAGACAGAAGACGATCTACAAAACCACAAGAGCTAAAAACACAACAGAACACTAAAGACTGCCTACTTTACAAAAAAAGTACATGGGAAACTATCAGCTGGCTGACTACGAAAGCTGCCTCTCATTCACTATAGTTTCAATTGAAGATATCTCTCTTAAGCTCTCCTGCTGATGCCAAAAACCTGTCCTTCCAGGATAATGAATTTATACATTGCCAAAATTTCAGCGATGCATTGGGGTCAAAGCTGTTGGAATAGAGAAACTTGAATGGCAAGCAGAGGTGCACAACATATCAACTAAGTAATAATAACTAAGTTTATTTCGAGCCCGAAATTTCCTCAGTCACCATCGTCTTTTCAAAATGTTAACATATTTCTCCCTTCCTAAATGATAGCAAATCTTCTCACGGCGTCTTGAAAATGGACCTCCTGGAACTCTCTTTAACTGTCAAACCACTCTGCTGCCTACTTAGTTAACAATGCATATTATGACAGGTAACTAGAGAGGTGAGTGTGTGATGGATGGTTATGTACCTGTGGGCGTACTGCTGCGGAAGGAAGAGGAAGGGGTGATGGGTGGGGTAACTGGAGGGGTGAGGTTTCCACTGGTGTGGCGAGGCGGAGTGGAAACACTGCTGCGAGACAGATTGCCTGTCAGAGACAGAGACAACTTGGGCTGCACCTTCTTCTTTACGGCATCGTGTTCTCGCCTTGCAGCATCTGTCATGAACCTGGCATTGTGGGATATAAGAGTAGTCAGGGTTTGCAATCTTTTTTTATGAAAAGAGGGTCATCACATTCGTCTTGTTACTGTAGGACTGCCCTGATGTTTAGAAAGTTCTGCTATTAAACGTTTGCTACTGTAAAACACGTTGGGGAAAAAAATTCTATGGCTCTATTGCCATCAAAAAAACACCAGGGTTTATGATGGATTGTAAAGTCTTTGGTAAATGTGTATCATAAAAATGAAATGTTAATAAAGACATTGTTAAAGCAAAAGTGGAATTTACAAATTAAGTGATAACCACATCAAGATGTGTTTGCAAAGGACAGCGGCAGAACTTGTACATTGGCTTGTTGCCACAAAACCACTATTCAAGCACCATATCAAAGACGACTGGGATGAACCTAGAGCAATAAAAGAAAACCAACTACCAAATACTGAAGCAATTCATCTAAGCAATACGCCAGATGACATTTGAAATTGCTGGTAGAACATCATATGAGCAACACTTCATAGGACACAGCAGTAATACTCACTGATGTAGGACCTTTGTAGATAAATCTTTATGAGGCCAAAGACTAATAACATCAATGTCATAATTATGTCAGATTTATAAAAAGTTTACTTAAAATTGAGTTACTACATAAATAAGGGGAAATCCTGCTGTTTTCTTTCTGATAATAGTTGTTTCTTTACCTGTTGATGTAGCTGAGGGCAACATATGTCGGCTGCTGCTGCTCCTGCTTCTCCAGGAGACGGGGGTCTGTGTCTAAGCAGGCAAGAGAGTGTGTGTAAGAATGAGGCACATAATGTAACTGTAAACATAACAAATTCTGTAGATTTACAAAAAGTGAAATCTTGTCATATAAGGCAATACTGAGAATAGCAGTTCCCTTTTTATCCCACTTTGGGATGACCAGTTCCCCCTGCACTGAAGTCTTTGCTTCACTGGGAGGATGAAACACACAGAGGTTTACACAGAGGTTTACACTCTGACACAGTGGAAACATAGTACAAACTTTTCAGGTAGATTTACAGAAATTTACAGCACAGGGGGGTGATGGGGCAGTGGATAAGACACATGCCTTTGGTGTGGGAGACCTGGGTTTGATTCCCACCGTGACACATCCACCATATTGTCCTTGAGCAAGACCCTTAACCCCTAGTTGCTCCAGAGGTGTGTGACCTCTGACATTTACAGCAATTGCTGCACCTTCTTCTTTACGGCATCGTGTTCTCGCCTTGCAGCATCTGTCATGAACCTGGCATTGTGGGATATAAGAGTAGTCAGGGTTTGCAATCTTTTTTTATGAAAAGAGGGTCATCACATTCGTCTTGTTACTGTAGGACCGCCCTGATGTTTAGAAAGTTCTGCTATTAAACGTTTGCTACTGTAAAACACGTTGGGGAAAAAAATTCCCCAAGTAAGTCGCTTTGGATAAAAGCAGCAGCTAAATTAGTTAACAGCAAATAGACATATACAATACTCAACAAGGCTTTTAAACCTGAGTAAAACCTTTTCAAACCTCTTCACATTAGATTGCCAAAATATGAAGCAGTACCAAATAATAATCAGTAATCTCTACTACTGCACTGACACTGTAAAGAGGTACAAAAGGTATCAAAGGGTGCACATTTCACGAGGGTCTGTTATTGTACTGCGCATCTGTGAAAACTAACTTTTCAGTACATACATGTTAATGTGGTTGTATCTTCTGAACGTTGTTGAGAACTTTCGCTCTGCCCTACCTGTGTATCCCTGAGCAGTGGCCAACAGTAGCAGGCTGTGGTTGAACTGGGTGAGTACCAGGTATCTATGTGTGTGCGTGAATGTGACGAGTTGGGCTGTCAAAGAGCATGCATGCTCAGCTGACTTGAATAATAAAGGCTAATAAAAACTATTTAGTGAAAATAATCAAAATGCAGGATATTGTGCAATGTGCAGAACAATTAGTTAACATGATGTCATGTACCACTGTCTAGACTACAGTCACTGTTTAGTTTAGAGTTCCTGGAGAAGCTCCAGTTTAAGCTGATTCTGGTTTCTTGATTTAACCCCTGTAGACTTATGTCTACTTTTTTAGTTGAATTCATTGCACTTGGTGCTCTGTACTGGATAATCAGGCTACTTCCCGGTTGGTGTAATGCATTCTGCCAAACTGTTATTTTATTCAAAATATATAAGAGAAGGTAACATCGCATGTACCTTCACATTTGAATTTCCATGCCACTTCTTGAAAAGCTGCTCTGCAGACGCCACATTGCTCATACATGACCACACTTGACACATACTGTGTTTTCCCATGCTGTGCTCCAGACATTCATCTTGCTCAGCGGTGCTAAATGTACAACAATAGCCAATCTCCACACCCTGAGGTGAAGCAGGCTTGACTTCAAACACTCTTCCCACTGCCATCCATGTGGGAGAAGAGAGATGCCCCATAAAACAACAGTGTCTACTTCTAACCAGCTGAGCCTCCCTGTCTGCCTCTGACAGAGCTGTGAAAGACTGCTACCCCCATGTGGTTAAAACCAATGCTTGTTTCCATCCACAAGCTCATTTATACACAACACTTACACCTCAGGCTATTTGTAACATTACATTCTAAATTATGCTTTTGTAAGGCACAATGACTACAGTGCAGATTTAATAGAATCTGTATATTCAGTTGTAAACTGCCCAGTCCTAGTTGATATAATTTAAAAATGACTATGGCAATGATACAAAACATATGGAAATGCCGTAATTAAGGTTTTCCTGTTTAAAGGGGTAAGCAACACCTTTGTGAGGCTGTAATAAAACCATGAGTCATACTCAATTATTACTGCCACTGCCTTAAACTTCTGTTTGTTTGTTTGTGTGTTTGTAACAAAACACCTAAAAACAGATTTCCATTAAATTCCTGCTGGACAGAAAGGCCTTGTGCCAAAGAAGAACTGATGCAGTTTTTGGTGCTCTATGATCTATTTCTCACTATAAAGGGGACAGAAAGGGTGTGTCTGAAGAGGCAAGGCTAGGGCTGGGTATCGAATGCCAACTGAGATGCATTTGCACCATCAATTATCAATAACTATCAAGTATTGAAAATTGGCATTAAATGCTTGGTCATATTTAGTGTTGTTTAATTTTAATCAACTGTATTCTGGTTGAGTTAAGTTCTTTTATCAAGATGTTTGTATATTTTGTTATATGGAAAAAACTTTTCAGTAGAAACATGTTAAAATAAAATAAGGTATCCAAAAGTATTGTTTAAGTCAGGTACTGGCAACAGTGTTGGAGTGTTTGAAAAGCAGACATGGGCAAAGAAAGACACAGGGCATCATCCACTTAGCACTCAAGGCCAAGCTGCTTGGTTGACGATGAAATAGTGGCAGAATTTTATGATATTGGCAGGTAGTCTCTAAGAACAGCTTAAACCTCAGTGCCTCAGGCTCAGGAGGGTTCTCTCATGGCCTCAGTCGTAAGCAAGTGTTTCATTAACAGTGGATTTATCCCCAGTGAGAAAGACAGCACACCTCTCTCTGCTCTCCAGCCAAAGTCAGAGTCGGAAAGACACATTCATAACAGCACTATTCCCCTGCCAAAAGCCAGAGGCAGTGCAGAGACTATTATGAGCACTGTGTGTCTGTATGTGTGTGCGTGAGTGCATAAGAAATCCCTCCTAAGATCCCTAATGAGCCTCAAGGAGTGGCATGGCCGTCTGCTCGTGGACCTCTCAAACAGCAGTGGATCAATCTGTTCCCACACACTGTAAATCACACACACCTCAGGTGGGCAGAGGGAGGCCTGCAGAGGCCAGTTCCCCACAGCCTCAGCTATTCTTTTGGGGCCAGTGGCAGTCAAGGACCGGGACAAAGGCGCCTCAAGTAGAGATGGGAACCCCTCTAATCAAACTACACAGGTGGTCCACCTTGGTGGCCGACTATTAGAAGCCTTCTGGGAAACAAAAAAGGGCATTTATTCACCGTCACTAGTTCCAGAGGCAAAAAATCAGTTCTTATAAGCCCCAGTGATTGTTTACATACGAGGTGGAAAGTCTGTGGGATAAAGAAGAGAAAGGACAGATCTAGTTTAAAACATTTACTGTTTAATAATCTTTTTATTTTGACTGAAATATCCTCAAATCTTTTAAAGATGTACATTAGTTTATAATGTTTTTTACTCTGAAAACCAAAAAAAGATCTCATGCAAAGTTTTGATTTTCAGCTAATTCCATTTTCTGCAAATTGTAGTTCACGGCAAACAGGTGTTCTTTGCTCTCTTGGCAAAATGGCAGAGAAAAATCAGGATAAAATGCAAGAAAGTTGCTGTGAAATACATTTAGTGAAACTAACCCAGTCATAAAAATATATTAAAATTCCACCCAAAGTTGTGCATTAGATTTCTTTAAAAGCATTTCTCAAAATTTTAAATCCCTGACAGGTCTGCATTTCACTTTAAAAAACTAAACAAAAACTAAAGTAATGGCCCCTACATATTTCTCATTTCAACAAATCTGCTTAGCCGTGATATGACAGTGCACACTAACCTTACTTTCTACATGAAGCATTGTCTATGCCTACTGTTGGTGTCTATCTGTGGAACATCTGTGTGGGAATGTCTGAGTAGTGGTTGCAGTGTATAAGTGCAGAAAACATGATGCAATAACATGTTCTCATTAGGGTCCCTATGACGGCCCGCAACAGGAAACCAAGGGGCGATCACACAACAACGCTTCCTGAGGCAATGGGGGAAGTGACGCCTACTGCCCTCTTATAACTCCCTCCATGACCCTCTCTCTCACACACACAGACACACACACACACACAAACCAGACACACAAACCAGACACACAGCTCCCTCTCTCATTTCCACCAGTGTCTGGCTCTCCCATCCACCCTCATGGCCAAATGCACTGTGGGGTAGAGCAGAGTGGTGAGCATTATGGTGACATGTTTATGGCGGCTCTGAGCAGTGGGGGACATTTCCAGGAGTGGTGGCACAGGTAATTCATTATGATGTGACCTCTGAGGAGGAAATGAAATGGAGTCAAGCTCCATGTGTAAGCTGCCTTTGCAGGTTACTGAGAAGAAAAAAATGCGGGGAGGTTAAAGAAATCCATTATAAATACATTCAGCACAGACAGCAACTTAAACATGTACACATGCACTAAGTCACACATACATCTCTACAAAGACACATTTTTACAAACATACAAGTAAACACAAAAAAAAAACTTTCCTTGCTGCTCTCTCTCTCTCTCTCTCTCTCTCTCTCTCTCTCTCTCTCTCTCTCTCTCTCTATATATATATATATATATATACACACACATCTATATATATATATATAATTTGACTGTGTTCATGTTTAAATTGCAGATATTCAGCGCTCTCAAACCTGCATTTTTGGAAAACTGGAAAGGCCATGTGACACAAAACCTTTTGCTGAAATCCACAGTAGTTCAACTGAGTGGGATATCAGCTCTCAGTACCATGCTTATTAAGGTCAGAGAATTTCAGGAATACATTAGGTTTTTTAATGAGGAGTTACTGTAATTTGCAAAACAATACACAAAAACATTTTGGTTCAACTTAGCTTTTACAGACTAATGAATGTAGTTGTAACAAAGGAGGAACCCTAACACACCTCTGCAGCATTCGACATAGGACAATATCTTATGTTTAACATTGTCCATTGAAGATGTGAACAAAATCTTATAATTAAAAGTAACACATTTTAGTTTGATAAATTGTCCTGCATCGAACTACACACCCATGTTGTGTACTGTCAACAAAGGCTGTGTATTATCTCCTATGAGGAATGTTTAATCGAGTACAGGAGCCCCTCATGTCGCAGTCACCGCACAGGAACAGGAGCAGTGGTGTCGGGGGATGGGGATATGTAATTAGGCCCACCAGGTGCACAGATCAGGGAACTAGTTACTGCTTCCCAAATTTATTACTTCCGTGCAGATTTTGGGGGTGCATGCCAAAAATCAACTAAATGAGCCTCCGGTGAAAATTGGCAACAAACAGACTCATTGTTACCAGGCCTGGACACTTCAGGCCATCAGTGCGCCAGGCCGCAGCAGTACACACACTCACAGGTCTAAATAACACGGTCGCTATTTGCTTCAAGTCTACAGTGGCCTGGTCGCTCAGTGACTAAGTAAACATTTCAGTGGCTTAGTGAGTCCAGCTTGGTCATGCCGCACAAGAAAACCAGACCATTGTGGTGATCTTTCAAGCTTAACATGACTTAAGCTCTGTGTTAAAACTTTCCTCTGCTCTTGCTGGTGTTCATTGCTGGGGCTCATTAGCATCTGCTCTCTCAAAGTTAGCTGAATGTGTTCACAAAGTTCTAAGAGGACCACCCAACACTCATATTATCAAGTTGAATCTGCTGTCTATGAAGGTAGACAAAAAAAATCAATTATTTTTTTATTATTTTGTTTTATCATAATTGATGTGGGCTGAAAACAATTATGTATCTACATTTTATTTGATTTTTGCTTCATGAGATTCAAATTTAAGTTTTTCAGGAAAGGCGTAACCCTTTTCCAAACAGCTGTGTGTGTACATACAATATCAATCTCTACATTTACTATGACCAATGACGTCTTGGGGCTTGTTACATTTTAAAGTTACTGTAATAATCTCCTTAAAGAGCAGTGATGTATGGATACAAACTACTCTGGAAGGATTATTATGTATTCAAGTACAGTATACCACGCATCCCTTAAATCAGTGGTTCTTAAAGTGGGGTCCGGGGACACCAATGGGTCCCCAGCAAAAAATTGGAATAATTTATTTTCACTATACATTCCATCCATAAATAACACAATGAAAAAACATATGACTATTTTGGGTTGCACACACTTTCTGTAATAAAACATATAATAGAAAAAATCCTATCAGATGGGAGACCCTGGGACAAAATCTTATCAAATGGGGGTCCGTGGTCTAATTTGTGTCAGTTTAGGTGTTCTTGACAAGAAAAAGTTTGAGAACCACTGCCTTAAATTACCAATTATTGCTCTCATTAATTTACCAATTATCCTTTTTAATATGTTTTCTTTAACTGAAGCTTCACCCTTTGACCTGATTACTGTATGACACAATAAACAGTGTTGTTAAATAAGTAGTCCTAGAGGAAGTTACCTCAAATATCAACCATAAGTTTTTACTACATGAACAAGCATCTCAAGAAAGCCTAGCCAACCTATAACTGAGCAGCGCCACCTCTTGTTCACAAACCTGACCAGAAGGCAGGCTGGGGAAAATGGGGACAAGAATGTGTGCTTGTTTTCCAGGCGCCTAATTATAATATAGAATGTGCTTTCAGCAGCAGGCCACCAGATGAGGAGGAAGACAGGCCAAATCAAGCACTCTCTCTGTAATTATGCTTCACAGGCACTTGGCACAACGCGCAAGATTTCGCACTTCTCAGAGTGGGCACAGGCCAGTGGACAAAGGAGGGGGGCAGCAAAGTTTTTCCACCCTGAGCAAACTAATTGCCTCATTATTCCCCTATAAGTCATTTGGAAGAATTTTTTCTAAGGCTAACACCTCGGACACATGCACGGCACACAATCAGAGGGCAGAGGATATTAAAGCCAGTCAAGCAACAAACAAGAACAACAGAGACAGCTGGGCCTTGTCAGCTTCAATAATAAGAGTCTGAAATATTAGATTGGGAAACAGAACTATGTGGAGGGGAATTCAGCTTCTAGATTTTACTTAGTTAAAAGATATAATGTTTTATTATGTTTTATGCTTCAGCACTTAGCAAAAATGTAATGTTCATAACATATAATATAATGTAAAATGCATGTAAGATAAAACTACATTAATTTGTAGTTTCTGACTGACCTTTTGTAAATACACTTTTATTCACTTCTATTATTCAAATTATTATAAAATACATGGACATAGCAATATTGTATGTGGAGCCAAAAAAGACATTAAGGAACAAGGGACTCAAACAGAAGTCTTACATTTCGTGAATCAGACAAATGTATCATGAAACAGCTATGATTTCATAGCTTGATCCATAATGCCTTCCACATCTCCACCCACAGGTAGTTCTTGTTACTGCCTTGCCCCATATTAACTAGTGGGATTAAATGGTGAGACTTGGTGTGCAGTCAGTAGGGCATTTCTGAGCTGCTATCCTGGGTGCACTGTTAAGCAAGTAGGGTGCGCACTGATGGGAGTTAAGCAAGCTATGAGCTGGTGAACTGTAAACCAACATCTGGGATTGGATACAATTTAAATACAAATAAAATATAAATATAACAAAAACTGTTTTCTGACATTGTTACACTTGTTATAGCCCTGGTCAGGAAGCAAAGTCAAAGTCCAAGAACATCACCATGGTAAGCAACGTTTCACTTTTTCAGATGTTCAGATTTGGGGAAATGATTCATTATACAAAGTTGTTTTCGGGAGATTTTATTATAATGGCATGGGTAGCACTTGGATTAGTGATCTACAATGATGACATCATATGTTCTCAAGAATGATGTTTTATCAAATGAACGCAACAGCGTTTAAAACAAGTGAACTATAGTCTCCTTTCATTGACTTACATAACAAAGGTCAAAGATGTTTGCAAGCTACTTTACTTATTTACTTTCAGAAACCAATCTGATATGTTCTCACCTCTCAGCTGACCGACACCATATGTTATTAAGAGTGAAATGGGATACATGGATTTTTATTAATTTATGTCTATATTAAGGCAATTGCATGTCTAACTTTAATTATGTTGCCAAACTAAAATTTGTGTTGTATAGAAGCTCATTTCTGCCACTTGAAAAAATGAAAACACCACCAAGTTTTGCTTTATTAATAAATACTGTTACTCATTATAATGATTTGCATGTCATAAATATGAGAATATGAGATACTAAAGTATATATATCCATCCATTGTCCACCGCTTATCCTGCTTACAGGGTTGCGGGAATGTAATATATATATAATAGTGAAACCAATCTTTTTCTTGTTTTTTTAATGCAAATGCTATTTTCTCAACTACAGTAAATTACTATCAGACCAATACCAACATTGATTTTAAAAAGTGCATCTTTAAAAACTACCCTGTCAGATCCAAAAATCTAATAACTATGCAACAATACATGTTTGTAAAGATGGGCCAACAACATAAAACATTAAATAGCCTATCCAAACTACATCATTTCTTAGCGGTTGTTAAAGTTGTAAATTAAATGACAGAGACTCAGTTTAAGAGTGCATCCTTACTTACATCCTAAGTAGTACCAAAGTCCTGTATGTCTCTGTTAGAACTGAGCTATGTTAGGCAGACTGAAACAAGCTATGAATAATCAGTGTTTCATCATTGGCTCCTGCAGACTGCAAGTTAAATCACGACGCTTCCGAGGCAGCTCTGCGCGCGGGCCTTGGTTTGCAATAATGTTGCACGAGCGACGGTGCGTAAAGAAACTGTCTTCCCGTGGTGTCTCGGTGCGGCTCTGTTGCTGTTGCAGCTACCTAATCAGTGATACAGCATTGATACAGACATTAAGGTAGTGAACACACAGAAACGTCAACAGCTACCACACCTAGCAACAGGGTTGTCAGGTCAGGACGCAGGAAGTAACTTGCTAGCTTGCTAACTTAGCCATTCCTGCTAGCTGCAAACCTCGGCCATTGCTAGCTGCGGCGCACACTACTTATCGGCTCTTACCGATGTGGTTATCCTCGATGTGCACGATTAGCTCGGCCAGAGAGTCGAAGTGAAGTCCGCAGCCCCCGAACCTGCAAGCGTTGGAGAAGAAAGAAGCAGCGGCGATGCCTGTCATGGTCGCTGCTGCATTGGAAATGAGGAGGGCAGGCAGCAGCAGCAGCAGCAGCAGCAGCAGCGAGCAGCGAGGGTAACAGCAGGCGGACAGCGGTGCGAACAGCTGGAGCGGCAGGGGCGGTGCGGCGACTTCTCCCAGCTGGAGAGCGACAACAAGACCGGAAGTAAGGAGGGTTGGCTTTCATTAGAAAAGCATATACTGGTTTTGAAGAAAACAGACATATTTGATCTAATAATATTATAATGTATTTATGTAACTGGATTAATATTTATCTAATAAAAGTTGCAATAAACAAATAATCATATATCTGCTTCTAATAATGATAAATACCAGTTAATAGACACCAAGGTGTCTTGAAATAGATTTTTAAGGCTATTGTGGCCACCAGCCTAATATCCAAATTAATAATTATACGGAATGGAGGAAAGCACCTGTGCACAACTAGTACTAAGTAGGCCTACATTTACCTTTGATATGATTAATTAAATTATCACAATTGGAATAAATCCATTTCCAGATTGATCTAATCAACATATCAATTAAAATAATATATTAGTCAACAGATCTAACTTCAAACTTTTTTATCACTAAATATCCAAACTACAGTAGTATAGTACTTTAAACTAGATGCTCCTTAGCAGCCACTCTGTTAAGCTGCTTCATTTAAAAATGAAATATAGAATATTGTTAATATAACATTGTACAGTGTTTAAACAAGTGATTGTATTGCTCCCCAGGGCATAATCTCAACTAAAACCATCTCATCTAAAATTGTGGATTTATTACAATAGTAAATGGACATAAATGATGATCCATGGTGATAATAAAATAGACTATTCATTAACATTTTAGCAAAGGCAGTTTTTTATTTCATCTAACTTGACCCATGGTTTTTGTTAGGAGAGATGGCAGGATGGAGAAGAATGAGGGACTATCAATAGCTACTACTACCTTCTGAATCATTCAAACTTTTTTTGCTTCCTTTATCTTTCACTGTTAAATTGTCCTCCCATGCACTGCCTTTCTTGAACTGCTTTAACAAACTGTAAAGTATTTGTGTTCATTTACTGTAAATGTCTGGATGTGTGTCCAGTTATATCCACACACTAAAATGATCTAATTAATATTATGCAGTTATAAGGGTTTTTTTTTTGTGATGAATGTTAGTGATAGTCTTATCATGGCTCACACATTGGATCAACAAGTAGCTGAAACATCTTTTGACCACAGTGTGGCAGTGTTGCTTTGTGGATAAATATGAGTCCTGTTTGAGCTTCTTCTATTACTATCCCAAACTTACACTGTGTGTTGTTGCACACCTGATGCTAATAAGTACTCAAACAAATTCTATCATCGAGATCACTTTGTGCTTCATGTGTTGCAAGATAATTTTGTTCCTTCAGAACAGAACATGAACATTTTGATATAGCTGAACATTTTGAACAAGTGTTGATCTCACCTATTTCCTTTTTCAAGTTTTCTATTTTCAGGTCACATAAAGTAAATAACTAGCCTTCACCTTGTGTGTGCATATTCCACTTGTAGCCTAGTACTTGTCAGAGCAACACATATGATCTGTTTTCAGTGGAGGAGAAGGAGTGAAACCATCACAGACAGACGTCTGCACAGTGCACACGTTACAATAACAATATCCAACGAAGGTTAAAATGAAGGGCAACTGGACTTGGTTGAAGCTACTGGAAGACGTTTCGTCCCTTATCCAAAGGACTTCTTCAGTTCAGTGTAGAATATGTTATCTGCTGCAAGTTGGCCAGAAATCAGTTTTGAACATTTTAAATTACAGTTATAAAATTTACTGACTTTAACCTTATTCCATTGCTTTCTTTTTTGCGTTTATTGGCAGTAACTTTGAATGTATGCCTGGGGATGTTATAATGTGTCACTGGGCCCAGCCCATTTTCAAATCAGGCACCATGGTGTTGGTAAAACAATTTTTCCAGGTATGCTTGAGAACTCTATGGGATATTACTATGAAAGCATTACATCACGGAAAACCTCTTGTTTGAGGAAGCTGATGACTTTAGTTTTAAAATGCCGGCATTGCCTATCCTCAGTTATTTATTGATGGTTGTGCTTTATGATCATAGCTTCAGCTAATCATTACTCTTCAATTTGTTACAGCCCATAAATGTAGATGAGGTAATAGATATATTTGTTTTCTGCACCAGAGATTTACTGAATAGGCTGTTTAACCTCAATGTGGAAACACATGCAGGGAAAGTCACATTTCACAGCTGTTTGTAAGCAACTAAACCCTGTTTCCCTCTCTGTGAACAATCCAACAAGTTTGAGCTAACCAACAAGATCTTTTGCTCATTGTTAGATAGTTATATGCTCTCTCACATATTACAGTAAATAGAGGCCCTAAATTCTTATGGCTTCTACAATTTCACAGCCAGTAGAGATGTATTCTAACCATAAAAAAATTCTAATACTATATTTTAATAATATAAAATTAAAATTTCTAGAAACATAGCTTAAATGGAGATTTCCCAGCTCCAATGCTCCCCAGAGAATTTAGTTCAAACTCAAATCATCAGTGTGTTTATTTATAAATTAGTATTTTGTAGGACATTAATAAAACAGAAGGTTTTGCAGGCCAAGGTAAATTATAAAGGAAGGAATAACACAATACCAACCCTGCTCTACAAATTAATCTAAAATATTATCCATATAATGTTGTAATATAAAATCTAAAAAAATGAAAGATATATTATATATCATCTATTTATATGACACTTTTCCAAACCCAGCCAGAGAGCATTTATAAATGGTTTTACAGTTGACCTTAATAATCCAGTTTGAGCACACACAGAAGCCCAATTCAGATGTCAAAAGAGTGATGTACTTACCTGCAAATGCTGTGCACAGAGGACATCATCTTAACACTGGTGTAAATCTAAAGAGTCATCACACAGTCAGCACCATTCACCAGCCACCTAATGTAAATGTTACAAGGTTGAGTGTTTGAGTACGGGAGTATCACTTGGGTTATCTACTGGGAACCTCCCAGCACATGTGTTTTGTTGAATTAGGCTCTCAGTTCCACGGTAGAGTGATGTTTGGTGTTGAAGGACCCAAGTGTCAAACCTCTAGTTAGTTGACCATTCTTTTCAAAAAGCTTTAAGCTGGAGACCCAAAGTTATAAGATGAGGGAGTAACACAAAGGCTTATTGTTTAAACAAAGGCAAATACAGAATTCAGTTCCAAAACATTGCCACAACCCTGAACAGAATTTGAGTTACTGTACGCCTGTTTTGCATTGTTGTCAAGCAACATTCACAGGTGCTATGCTCATTGGCATCGAGCATAGAACATAGCATGGGAAATAACTTCATACTTTGGTAGTACTGCTGAAAAGTCCTGAGGTCTGACTCATCAACCAATATTTCCTGATCTAATTAGATCTAGCTAAAACATCCTTCTCAGAAACTAAATGATATAAATAATTACAGGCTACAAATCTGACTGATTCCTCTGGTTTTGTAAATGTATATTAGTTCATCTTAGCTTTACACTTTACACAATTGCTCAAAAATATAGAAGTGTTAGCCTTCTTATCCCCAGGCTATCTCCCAACTGAGAAATGTTTTGACATTGTAACAATCCATGACACCTCCACAAAGCACATTTTTCCGTGTTAAAGAAAACAGAGGTTAGCAGCGTGATGCTGTAGGTTGGTTGTTTTTTTAAGTTTTAAACCTTGAATCCTTCTTTTCCCAGAAGATATAACTAATTATTCTTTGTTAAAATAGTCTAATCCATATTCATTATCTTTGTGAAACCATGATATCTTTTTTCCCTTCAGTCAAAGAAATCAACCACTATTAAACACCACGTCAGCTTGAATGTTATATCACACTTTTAGAAGATGAAGATGGTTTGCCTCTGCTTTCTGTAAATGTTTTGTTGGAAATATAGAGGTATGAAATATAGAAGAATTAAAATTGTTTTTGGCCTGCACTCATTGGTAAAACAAACTCGATGGTCAGCCACTGTGAGTAATCTCTACTTGATTAGAAGTTCTCAGTCACTCCTCTTTACAAAATGGTAATTTTGGAGATGTGTCTGTTGTTTGCAAGGGATCAGGGTGAATCATTTTCAGTACTGCATAATAGAAACTAGAACTAGAACATCAGTGGCTGATAATAGATTAAATTCTTCTATCATATAATTGGACTACCCATTTTAAGAAAATTTGCAGAAAAAAATGTATGTATGTTTTTTCTACCCCAGCATGGATGCAATTTTACACTTACAGATATTTGTTAGAAGTGAAGATGGCAGGAATGTACAATCAGTTTAAATTGCCATCTTACTTGTTACTTGCTGAAGTGTTGTTATGTGGAATGCCATGCAGTCATACTGAGAGCCCAGTGTTTCCATCCCTGCAGGCACAATCATCTCTGCTTAAGGTATGGACGGCAGGAAACTCTGTTTTACAGTAGCTTTCCATTTATTTGATTGAAGTAAAATATTTTTGAAGGTGCAGGCCTATATCTTGCTTACAAATTGATAACCTGCATGACCTCCTTTCGCCTTTTGCACCTGCTGCAACAAAGCATCCTCATCGGTGCTAATCTTCCCAAGGTGATCTTACTCAGAAGTTTCACAAAGGCATAATAATAAAAGGTTTAGTATAATATAGATCAAATCTGCTTTAGTGTGGGTCACTGACCCAAACTGTATCGGCTCTTTCCAACCTTAATAGTCTGCTCCTCTGGGAGCATAATGTTTGGATTGGTTAGGAAATATATTGGCAATAAAGAGACAAAAGGATGTCATAAACGTTGATTAAAGCTCTGGTTAAAAGACAGAGGCGGAGAGGCTCTGAGTTATGAGGGCTTTTCAGACTGCGTTATTGTGTCAGTGACAGAGCTCTTAGTGTGTCTAGTGGAGTGGTCGCAGGTGAGTGGTAAACATTTCTCAATGTGTGAGGAGTCATTAATCCCTAGAGCTGAGGATGGCTTCACTACCAGTGTCTGTGGCCCAAGAAATCACAGCCAGTTGGCACCAGCAGGTCACACAGAGCTCCAAATGCTTTGTACTTCAAAGCTGTTTAAATATCTTCTAATGTGCTGTGTGGCATTTCAGAAAAGGCAGGTGTTGTTGTGTTTCGCACATTCAGTTCATTTGCAAGTG